TATATATATATATATGTAGCACCGAATGTGTATATATATATATTATTTTATTTTTCATCATTTTAATTATATGATAATTATTGATGCAAAAAATAAAATGTAATGTATTTTAATATAATATGGCCGAAATTCTAAGGGGAAAAATACAAAACATATTTTGATATTCCACCTAATGATATATTTGATTAACAAAAGTATACTTGTCTTGTTGTGTTGGTTGGGGACATTACACTAATCTCATTTTGTTTTTGTCCCTAAGCAATTTCCTAGCATTTTCTTAATACATTGTATTATATAGTGTGAATATCCCTCCCCATTTAATTAAGTGAATTTTCGGCCATCCCATTTTAGAGAGAAGAAAAAATCCTATTTTGCGTTCAAAGTTATTTTTCTAAAGTGTTAGAAATGTACACAAAATATTATAAAGAAATATTTATAAGATAAATATTTTACTATATATTTATTACACCCAAAGTAGTATTATTATAGTTTTTACTATCCTAAATTAAACTTGCTAGCACAAGTTTAATCTTGGACTCCGGAGCAAGTTCGTGTGGATACGTTGGAGGCTTCATACGTTTGGCGCTACGTTCATCTCCTCAAAACCATCCCCGACCGTTCCTCCGTTCTCCGTTTTCACCGTTAAGGTAAATTTCTTACTATAGCTAGTAATTTACGTAAGTTATTCTTGGGAGGAATCGAGTTTTGGACTATAAATTTTTGTTTTCCGCTGCGTTATCCAAGCCTCGTTTCCCAACAGTGGTATCGGAGCCGGCTTACGAAGTTACTAGTTTAGTAGTTTTTACCGTTATTGTTTTTGTAGATTAGTCAATAAATTTTGGAGACAAAAATTTATCCCATTAAAAATTTAATTAGGTGGCCATATTTAGATACTGGACCTAATATTATTTTGTTCAGTAATTTTCGGAATTACTGTTTGGGGTATTTTTATATTATTCTTATTAAGTAGTTTATGTGTAGAATACTTGTTATTTGTGCCATAAATACTTAATATTTATGACAATTAGATTTTATATTTTCTGGGAAGTATTTGACATGTCAATATAACTCAGAAATTTTAAAATCGATTTTTGGAATTAATTTCCTATTTTTCTATTTTTAAATTCGTTTATTGAATAGAAAATGGGAAAACTTATTTTTGACGGTCAAAAATTAATTTTAATTCATAATAAGTTGCGACCAGAGATTTTAAGCTTGTATAAAAATTTTCATAATTTTTAAACACGTAAAAATATTTATTTTGTATTCTTGAAGTAATTGGATCGGTACTATTCACTAGTCCGATTTTTAATTATTTTAAATTGCAAAATTAATGTTTTAAATTATAGAAAAATCATATTCTGGTTCTGGAATTTATTTTTGACTTGGAAAATAAATTTTGATATTTTTGTAATTTCGAAATATATTTTCACAATATAATTTCGGTTTTCTATCTTTGAAAAATGGTTTTCAAAATTTTAAATTTTATTCATTCTGGAATTTTAGGATTTCCAGATTAATAAAGTTTACTGGGAGTCTCCAACAATTATTTTCTAATTTAGAAAACATATATATAATTAATTCGAAATAAAAGCCCTTTTTCGAATTTAAATATATATAAATACGGTAAATATAAAATATTTTATTTTCTGGAATTTAGAAAATCTAATTTCTAACATTCTGGAAATTTAAAGTATTTTATGATTTTTAATTAAATTACTTGCTAGTTTAATTAATTTATTGTTGATGGTTTATTCCGTAGAATAGAATAAACTAGGTCTGGGGCGAGCGCGGTTCGCCCGGTGTATGCTTTAATATGTATGATGTGATGCATGTGATGCTTGTATGTATTATTGTATGGTGGATGATTGTGGCTTAGTTATATTTGTTGTAATACGGCCTGCGTGTCGTGCCTCATCTCTATACTCTGGATGTAATTCTCTTCTTTACCTCAAATATTCTTTTCTCTCAAAAATTATAAGAAGACGAAGTCCGTTCGTGATAGAGAATCCTAAGGAAGACGTGATGGGCCGGAGATAGAGATCTCTTGATCAAGGCGCTATCGTTTGTTTTTCTTTAGGAGCCACAATCATTTCACGTTTACTTATTATGCATGTGATGTATGATTGAATGTATGCATGTATATGATTTTCGCTAGTGCATACGCGCGGTGTATGCCATAGGCAAGACTGCGTTATAAATCCCTCATAATTTTAAGTCTGTGCCACCCCGACGCCCCGTCACTCGTCAAACCCAATTTAGATCGGTAACGGACTCACCCAAGTGAGACGCCCAGTTTACGTTGGTTAGGCGCGAAACCCGTAACTAGGGTACTGGCTCGCCCCGGGTTAGTCTTAACTAAGTCTTGGTCATAAGGATGAGAGACATAGGGCACTGCGGTAGGATCAATAAATAAAATCAGATCATCCAACCAGAGTTGTAAATTGTTACAATTGGAATTTATTCCTACTAGAAATAATTTAACTGTAGGGCAAGATGCAAAGCACAACTATAGTTAAATGAAATATGGATCTGGCCCAATTAAGAATTTTATTTAAAAGAATCCACCGAACCAAGAGTTGTAATAACGATTGCAATTGGAATGAATTCCTACCTAAATAATTTAACTGTAGGGCAAGATGCAAAGCACAACTATAGTTAAAT